TCCCTTGCTTTCTGGCGCGCGCCCAGGCCCAAAAAAAAAAAAACCCCTCCAAAAAAAAAAGAAAAAAAAAAAAAAACCAGAGGAAAGGTGAATGCACAAATATTGTGAAGGAAGGTAATGAGTGTGGGGAATGTGTAAACAAAAGTTGTGAGTATGAATGTGTTCTTCCACTTTTAAAACTATCTTGAATCTCTGCAACCTCATTATTGATGACCTGAATAAGCAATAACGTGTAAATCTAGAGAGGTCTCTTGGGGTAAGTTAACTAAGACCAAGGAAACACAAATTAAAAGACATTAAAGCAACAGGGTGCATTCAGTTCCTTCATTGCTTTCCTCCCTCCTGAGAGACCCCCACAGGATCCTCCCGCCCACCAGAAATGACAAAGTTCTTCTAAGAGATTGAGCTCAACACAGCCAGGGGCCTGGAAAACTCAGAGCAACTTCCCTGTGGGGTCTGTGTTGTTATTTTTGACCTTCTCAAGCTGGTTGCTTTCTTCCTGATGTGTGTACACAAAATTCTACTCTGTGGCAAATTCAAAACCCATGGCCCCGTTTGGTAGCTTTTCCCCAGAAGAGCAATGCTTCTCTTTAGAAACGCTCCCTGGCATAACCCTTTAATTTTAATTCAAAGAAGCAAACAGTGCAGAACACCTGCCCCGAGATATATGAGAAACCAAAAGTCAATGGTCCTCAAAGACCCAAAGGATCTGCTTAGAAACCGAACACTCAGCATTTAGCAAGTTCTGATTACTCACACCATGTTCTGGACGCCAGTCCTGGGTGCTCTTTAAGGCCCCCTTCCACCTCTGCCTGATGCAATAAAGCCCATACCTTCAACATTCCTGCCTCTGTGCCCTTGTGCATGCCACTTCCTCTGCATAGACTTTGCATAAATTCTACCTGCACCTGTGCAAATCCTACAACCCTTCCAAAGCCTTTCTACCTCTCACTTACTTTATAAAGAGCTCCTTAACTCCTATAAACTGCTCTAATTTCTTCCCTTAGGACACGTTTTACAATCATCTACTCTTAATTGCTCATGTGGAAGCATTTCATCCTACTTTCCCAGTGAGATTGTAAACTTCATGAGGGCAAGGGACATTTCTTAGGCATTCAATACCTACTCACTGTGTTAAAATTAGAATTTCACATCGAAATTTGTGTGGCCCATTGTGTTGGTGCAATAATATCACACAGCTCTACAATGCAGGAGGCCATATGCAAGATCAGGGTTTGAGCTCTTCACCCCACCTCTGACTTGGACACTCTGAGTATGTGCATGTGTACTCAGATTCCGGCTGGCTGGGAAGACAAGGGGAGGATCCTGTTGAGGGTGATTCTCTCTATCTATCTATCTATCTCTATCATCTCTCATTAAAAATAATAATAAATTTTTTTAAAAAATGATTTTTAAATTAAATTTATAACAAATGTATCACACCATTTCAAGAGATTAAAAGTAGGGAAAACTGTGAGGGGACATACAGGAATTCTCTATACTATCTGCTCAGTCTTCTATAAACCTAAAAATAAAGTCTATTAATTTTTAAACTGCTTTAACAGCTTTCTCCAAATCCTAAAGTTTTGTCTTTCAAGAGACAATAGGAAACAAAGAGAAAAAGACAAAGAAGTCATTTAGACAATAGACTAGTAAACAAAAGTCAATTACTTCCCTATACACCAGCAATGAACAATTAGAATTTGAACTTAGGGAACCAGCAGTTAGCATAATGGCTATGTTGCTGGACTCCCACATAGTCAACCGCGGTTCGCGTCCCGGACCCGGTGGCTTAAAACTCATGCCGGGCGCGTGTGCGTGCGTGCCCAAGATCCCGAGAGGAGAATGGAGGAGAAGGGACTGCGGCATGACCATCCCCCCGGGAGGTGATTTCTGTCTCTATGTCTCTCTGTCTGTCTGGTGAGTGCACACACCCTATAGCAAAAACCTCTCAAAAAAAAAGTCTCTAGAGAATTTGAACTTAAAAATACCATTTACATTAGTACCAAAACATAGAGAAAATTTCATGTATAAAGCAATAAAATATGCACGCATACATGAGAAAAACTATCAAATTCTGATGAAAGAAGTCAAAAGAGATCAAGTGAAAGAAGAAATATTTCTCATTCATGGGTAAAAAGACTTGATATTGTCAAGATGTCATTTCTTTCCAACTTGATGTATAAATTCAGTGCAATCCCAGTCAACATTCTCGAAAATTATAATATTTTACAGATATTGACAAACTTATTCTGAAATTTAAATGGAAAGGCCAAAGATCCTGAATAGCCAACATAATACTAAATAAAAAGAACAAAGTCAAAGGGTGGACACTAATGGGCTTAAACTTTTACTATAAAGCTAGAGCAATCTAAACAGTGTGGACTTGGCAAAAGAACAGGCGAACAAATGAATGGAACAGAAGAGAGAACCCAGAAATACACCCACACAAATATAGTCAACTGAGCTTTGACTAAGAAGCAAAGGCAATTTAATGGGGGGAAAAAAATAGCCTTTTCAAGGAATGAGGCACAATCCACGAAAGAAAAAACTGATTCGTTGGATTTTATTAGAATTTAAAATTCCTGCTCTGTGAAAGACCCTGTTCAGACAATGACAATATAACCCACAGACTAGGAGAATATCTTTGGAAAACACCAAACTAAAGGACTGTTAACCGGGGCTGGTAGGTGTGGTGGTTAAGGGCGCTGGACTCCCACATGGCCAATCCCAGTTTGAGTCACAAACCTAGTGGCTTGCTTTCTCGCTTTCTCTCTGTCTCTCTGTCTCACTCTGGTCAAATTAGAAATAATTATAGTAATAAAGTTAGATGAGATCATTCTTTTTTAAAAAAATGACTATCAACCAAAATATACAAAACATAAACAAAAACTCCTTTTTTCAATTAATTTATTTATTTTTTTGCCAGAGGGCACATTTGCTTGCTGGAGAGACACACCAAAATGCTTCCTGCTCTAGTTTTCCTTTCAGAATTTTGAGCATGCCCACACATGCGCGCAGTAAGCTTTTCAAGCTGCTCAGTCCAGGATTTGAACCGTGCAGTCAGCCATGTGGGATCCAGCTATCTGAACCACTGCATTATCAGCTGGCCCAAGTTCTTTTTCTTTTCTTTTTTTTTTTTTTTCTTTTTGAGAGAGAGAGAGATTTTGGCTATAGGACATGATGTGCACTCACCAGAAAGAGAAAGACAGAAAGCGGGAAATCACCCCCCAGCGATTATGGCCACAGTGCAACCCCTTCTCCTCCATTCTCCTCTTGGGATTTTGAGTGCATGTATGCACACACGCCCAGCGTGACTTTTAAGCCACTGGGTCCAGCTCTCAAACCGTGGTGGACTACGTGGGAGTCCAGTGACATAATCATTATGCCATCTGCTGGTCCCTCAAATTCATTTTTTAAATGCTTAGATAAAATTCGCAGCTATTAGAATGGCTAGAATCCTAAATGTTAACAACACCAAATGTCAGCGAAGTTGTGGAACAACAGGAACTTTCACTCATTGCTGGTAGGAATGCAAAATGGTAGTTACTTTGGATCACGGCGAGGTAATTTTTTTTATAGGGCTAAACATAGTCTTAACGTCTGATCCAACAATCATGCTCTCAGGCATTTACCCAAGTGATCTAAAAATTTATGTCCACACAAATGTTTTCAGCCACTTTATTCATAACTGCCCCAAACTGGAAACAACCAAGACATCCTTAGGTGAACAAATAAACTGTTATACATCTTTTGAGTTGTTGGGAAAAGTAATGATGCATTTTTGCATAGAAAATATGTCCTGACTTTCCTGACAATCTAATATATGGTGGAATTTTATTCAGCAATAAAAAGTAATGCGTGAAGGGCCAGCATGGAAGGCAGTGGTTAAGGTGCTGGACTTCCATGTGGTCAACTGTGGGTCCGGTCCTGACTCAGCAGTTGGAAAACTAAAATCCCAAGAGGAAAATGGAGAAGAGATGATAGCCTGGCCATCCCCCTAGGGGATGATTTCTTGCTTCCTGTCTCTCTGTCTCTCCAGCGAGTGCAAGCACCCTAAAGCAAAAATCTCTCAAAACTTTAATAATAATAATAATAATAATAATAATGTGCTATCGAGCCACGGAAAGATATAGAAGAATCTTCAAAACATATTGTTGGGACCAGCAGTTGGCATAATGGCTATGTTGCTGGACTCCCATGTAATCAACCACAGTTCGAGTCCCGGACTTGATGGCTTAAACTCACACCGGGCACGTGTGCATGCGTGCTCAAGATCCTGAGAAGAGAATGGAGGAGAAGGGATTGCACCATGGTCATCCCCCCTCGGGGGGAGGGGTGATTTCTTGCTTTCTGTCTGTCTCTCTGTCTTTCTGATGAGCGCATGTGCCCTATAGCAAAAACCTCTCCAAAAAAATATATATATACACATATAGTTAAGTGAAAGAAGTCACTTCAAAAATGGTACATACTATATTATCGCAACTGCGTGGCATTCTGGAAAAGGCAAAATTACGGAGATAGAATAAGTCGTGGTAACCACGCACTGAGGAAGAGGTAAGGAAGGACGAATAGGTGAAACACAGGGGCTTTTAAGGACCGTTAAACTACTCTGCATAGTACTAGTGAACTCATGGCATTGTAATTTGCCAAAATCCATAGAATGGACAGCACAAAGAATGAATCCTAATGTAAACTATGGGTTTTAGTCAATAAAATTCATCCCAATAGCCAAAATGCTTGTTATTCAGATAAGCTGCTTCCTCCTCAGTTCTTACCCTTTGGGATTCTGTGGCCTGAAAGGAAGCTTATGTCTTACAGATATTCTAATGAATATCAATATTGACTCTTCGATTATAAGAGGGGAAAAGACTGGATTGTGAACCATTTTTAATACTCTATTTAGGCTCATAGCACCAAACTTTTTGATCATGCTACTGTGTTAAGAAGGATGCATTTCTGTAAAATATGTCTAAATTGCCTCACAGTATGTGTCCAATTACTGAAACCCACAGTTATTAGTCTGAAATAATACTAGTTTTCCTTCAAGATCAGCACCTCCACCTTAGTAGAAATGACATTCATCAGAGGTCTACATGGGCGGGAAGATTCATTTACAGTGAGACTTACCCAAATCATGTGACTGTCTTCTCAACGTTGCCCAGAAAAAGAATTTCCAATCCCTCGTGGGTCTTGCTCAATAAAAGTTCCAATTGTTTAGCGTGTTGGTTTGGAGTGTATGGAAATAGGTGTTTTCATAATGGGTTCCCTTGGGGCCCTATGCAGATTCCAATTGCAGAAAGCCAGGATGGTGGTGGCAGGCTTTGGCTTGACTCCCTTGGTGGAGTCCTCCTCTGAGTACACCTGGTACTGTCCCTATAGGCAACAGATACATAATAATGACATGGCCTGAGGTGCTACGGATACCAGATTTAAAGGGCCAGACATGGTTCATTGTGACCTTAACATACTGCCTAGGCCACAAGCAGCAATGGCGGAGGAAGAACAAACATTAAAGGAGCCTCAGGACCAGCAGTTAGTGTAATGGCTATGTCACTGGACTCCCATGTAGTCGACCACGGTTCACGTCCCGGACCCGGTGGCTTAAAACTCACACCGGGCACGTGTGCATGCGTGCCCAAGATCCCGAGAGGAGAATGGAAGAGAAGGGATTGCGTAGTAGCCATCCCCCCTGGGGAGTGATTTCTCGCTTTCTGTCTCTCTGTCTCTCTCTGTCTGTCTGGCAAGCGCATGCGCCCTATAGCAAAAAAAAACTCCCCCCCCCCCAAAAAAAAGGAGCCTAGCCCTTGGTTTCACAGCAAGGAAAAAGCCAGTAAGTTTGAAGCAACTCTCTAAGCCACTGTCATGTTGTTAAGGTCCTACCCTGAATCCCACCTCTAGGCTCCTTTCATATCAGATTTCCTGAAGCTTTCTTCTTCTTCAAGTTGGTTAAGAAAATTTGTTTCCAGAATTGGGTATTATGTCTGTAAGACACAAGCTTCATTTCATGTCATGGAATCCCAAAGGGTAAGAACTGAGGAGGTAGCAGCCTATCTGAGTAACTAGCATCTTGGCTGTTGGGAATGAATACTACCAGAGGTTCAAGCTTTGGAGAGCAAAACAGTTCTCAACTTTGCCCAAATCGCACACCACCCAGGACTAGGTGCAGGGGTTTCATTGTCTAATGACAGACATGTCATTAGTCCCCATGTGTTTTGAAATTGTTCTCTCTGATAGACTCTTAGGAACAGAGTGGACAATAGTAATTGCTGAGACTGTTGGGATTTTTTTGTCCACAAGCAGATAAGTCATCATCACTCTGTTCAAGGAAAAAGCTTCACTCTAATGCTAGGCCCAGAGCTTCTCAGAGCATGGCAGCCTTTAGAAAGATAAAATAGAACTTCATCATTTTAGCTGAAAATATCCTGTAGTGACATTTTTCCAGTCTCCAAAGTGTAAGAGTGAATCTAACACACACATCATAGGCTGCACCTCTCTAGCCCTTAATAAATTCAGAGCCCTTGGACTCAACCATAACTGTGCAATATCTGCTCCCCTTTAACCAAAATGAAAATTCCAGTTACCAGGATCTGTTTAAAAATAAAAAATGGGGGACCAGCAGTTAGCGTAATGGCTATGTTGCTGGTCTCCCACGTAGTCGACCATGGTTTGCGTCCCAGACTCAGTGGCTTAAAACTCACGCCGGGCGCGTGTGCGTGTGTGCCCAAGATCCCGAGAGGAGAACGGAGGAGAAGGGATTGCGGCGTGACCCCCTGGGGGGTGATTTCTTGCTTTCTGTCTCTATGTCTCTCTCTGTCTGTCTGGCGAGCGTACGCGCCCTATAGAAAAAACCTCTCCAAAAAAAGAAAAAATGATGAGTTAATGGCTTAAGGAACATCAAAGAAATTAAGGAGGTGTCCCTGTCACGCATTTTAAGGTGAGGGAGGCCTTAGAGTTTCTGAGAACTTTTTCAAATAGTAAACCATTGGACAGGAGCTGGAGAAAGCACAGTTGTATTGAAACAGCACTGCTAGCTGTGACCGAACAGAAACTGCATTTGTCAAGTGACTTCTCCCTTTCCTATTACAAGTTGAACGTGAATTCTCAACCATCATCTACCTAATAGGCATCCTTACCCTAGAAGTGTTTACCACTCACTCTAAAAAGAGTAACCATCCTTCAGTATCCCAAAATTTTCTGATTATTATTTTTTCACAGCTATAGCAGTAATTATTACATGTGATGAAGACTTTAAAGAGTCGAAAGATCTCAAAGTACCTCCACCATCACACACAAAAGACTCTGGGAAATTGCACTAGAGTAAGCATGTCACCTGAGAAATCGCTGGTCTCTCTCATGCAGGGTTCCTGACCTGGCTGTGCTGAGCATGCTTCTGTACTGCAGATGTCTACGTGACGCGCTGTCGTCTCCATGCAGGGAGCACCTAGCTTTCCCCAACTGTCCCCAAAGCATCAGCTTAGAACACCATAGTAGACTCAGTGTGCAAGTAGAGAGAGGTTCAAGGGTGTGAGCAACATCTAAAGAGACCCCCAAGGAAAAGAGCAACACTCTTACACAGTATTCACAGCACATTTCTACCCCAGTCTGAAGCAAGGAAAGTGAATTTTAGAGGATGAAGAAAATACACTTTCTTCCCTATTGACTCCTGCCAACGCCTCTCCAGGTCAGGGACGTTAGTGAAACCATCCATAGGGATCTGTCTCCCAGAGGATCTGGGATCAGCAGATAGCATAACGGTTACATCATTGGACTCCCACGTAGTCAACCGTAGTTCGAGTTCCAGACCCAGCAACTTAAAACTCATGCGCGTGTGTGCCCAGAATCCCAAGAGGAGAATGAAGAAGAAGGGGTTGTGGTGTGGCCATCCCCCCAAAGGGTGATTTCTCACTTTCTGTCTCTCTGTCTCTCTGGCGAGCACACATGCCCCTTAGCAAAATATCTCTCTCTAAAGAAAAAAACAAAAAAAAAGACACAGAGAAACAAGGAGAGGTCTAGAGAGGGTGAGCAGAAGATATCCAGACAACCTGCAATTTCATATTTTCCTCCTTTGGATCACAAGGTTATAATCTGAGATAGGCCTCCTCAGAGAACTGAAAAATGTACTTTTTCCATCTCACAAGACTTGACTCTGCTCTCTAATATAAAGGGAGCATTCTGAACAGAAATCCGAATAGGCTTCATCATGATTTCTGTTGATAAGACATCGCAGTGACCCTCTGAGCTACCTCCACAGATCAGGTAATAACTGGGAGGACAGCACAGAGTGATTCCGTGGTCTGTTCTTGAGATTGTGCTGACACCTGGCTGCCTGTAATTATTGGAGCCAGTACAAATTTCACAGTCACTGCCTTGAGTGTGCAAAAACGTAATTTTCTCTATTATTCTATAATTGAATGTAATTTCTGCCTTGAGCCTTCATTCTGCCTCAAAGCAGAGAAAATTTAATCTAGTCACTTGCAGATAAACTCATTCAAATTCAGTCATTTCTTATCAATTCAAGTTTATAATTCAGTCACAATTGAGTTTGACACTCTCTTTCTCTCCTTTTTTTCCTCTCTCCTTCTCCCATGGAATTGAGCTTAAGCTCTCTAGGGCTTTTTTAAGGGATCCGCCTCTTAGTCTGTCTAGCTCTGAGCATCACAGATCTCAGGTGCTCTCTTGAAAGATGGTCTTGATGGTTTGTGGGACAAAGGGGAGGTTCCCATTATTTCTCTCCACTGGATCAATCCTCATCTAGTTCTCACATCTCATCCTGGGCTGACCTACTGGCTGTCTCTCTGCTCAATGTTTCTCTACATGGAAGCCTTTGGCACACTGTAGGTGCTTTCCTATGGGAGACCTGTGGGAAAAGGGGTGGAGGGTCTCCCAACCTTTTGTACCTAGACACCATTCCTATTCTGCCGCATCAAGATGGCATGAGGCATTTCCCCAAGGCTTGTTAGCTTGCTCTCTCCCCAACTTAGGCTATGGCCAGGAAAGGGGGCACAGGCACCCCTTTTCTCAGGGCCCTTCTGATGAGGCCTTGAGGTCAAAGGAAGGGTACACTCACATATCACCCTGAGATTCCCTTCAGACCTTTCCCCATTCCCACCTATTGTGACTCCTCCTATCCCCTGACAAACCTTTTCTGCCTTGTACCTGAACAGAGCCTTTGACTTTAGACAACAGTGATTCAGTAACTTTGCTTCTTGTGCCTTATCAGTGGCTTCTCCCTAAAACGGTGGCTGTCCTGGCTATAAGAAAAGGACCAGCAGATGGCATAATAGTTACATTGCTAGACTCCCACATAGTTGACCAGTTCGAGTCCTGGACCTGGCAGCTTGAAACACACTGGGCATGTGTGCGTGTGTGCCCAAAATCCCGAGAGGAGAATGAAGGAGAAGGGATTACGGCATGGCCATCCTCCACTCCCCGCCCCCGCCGCCCCCGGGGAGATGATTTCTCACTTTCTGTCTCTCTGGCAATTGTATGTGCCCTATAGCAAAAAAAAAAAAAAAAACCTCTCTTATAAAAAGAAAGAAAGTAAAGCGCTTGAGGTACACTGAAGAAATCTGATGAGTGGAAGGAGAGAGGAAAGTATCCCTATTAACATTTCACATACCGTCCTACCACAGTATAGTCTGGTTTATTTCCATTTATGATGTTACCTTGTGAGGTGCATAACAGCAATTAGGCTAATTTTATCACATGACTTAAATCGGCTTGTAAGAAAATTCTAAAAGAGACTGTTCTAAAAATATTTTGGAGAAACAGCCATTTGAAATGCATGTGTACTGTCACCCCCATCTCCCCTCCTCTTCCCCTCCAGCTGTTCATTTGGATATGTAAGCTACTGAAGAATGGTGCTATGAGCTATATGACATTCTCCCCAAATTCATATGTTGACGTTCTAATCCCCAGTACCTCAGAATGGAGATAGGATCTTGAACGGGGTAAAGTTAAATGAGGTCATTAGGGTGAGCAGCTTATCCAGTATGACCAGTATCCTTATGAGAACAGAAGATTAGGACCACATGAAGCCACAGGGGAAATAAGCCAAGGAAAGAGGTCTTAGAAGAAACACCCCTTCCAACACACTGGTCTTAGACTTCTAGACTCCCAGACTGTAAGGAAATAAATTTCTGTTGTTTAAGCTGTCTAGCCTGTCCTCATTATGGCAGCCCTAGCAAACAATACAGATGGTGAAAAAGCATCAGTCACTCGACTCAACAATCACACCTCTTAACCTCATACCCTTTAAAGTTCCACTTTCACGTAAATGCTCACTTACATATTTTTAAGTCATCTCATTCTTTTACTTTTTTTTTTCCCAAGAGAACTTAGTATTATATTTCAGCCAGTTCACTTCCATTTTAAGATTCTTT